GACGCTTGGCGAGGATGTTGTTGATGGTTTCATGTGTTGGGAATTTTGAAAGTTGAAATTGCTTCATTGCCCATGTTGTTGATGCTTAGCGAGGATGTTGTTGATGGTAGACCCTGTGATGAGGGATTCCTTAATTTGTGCAAACAAATTTCAAATCTTTGAGCATTGTTGAGTGAAGAAAACGGTTTGATTTTGGAAAGAAATGACTACATATAACCATAGTTATTAAAAACGAACCGAACTGGTCGGTTCAACCCGAAAACTGGTGAGTCAGACACTAATCCGGTTCGGTTAGCAAAATTTGGTTCATTTACAATCCAACCGGATAAGAACCGTCCAAACCGGCTCATATATGTCATAAACCGGACGGGTTTAAGTGAACCAAATTTTGTGAAATTGGTACCTAATAAAATTTATATTAAAGTTGCATGAAGTGAGAATCGAACCCTTATTACCTTGTTGAAAGGTTGAAGCCTTGACTACCATGGTAGATGTAGAATTGCAAAAAATGGTGTGAGCCAAATATATATATTTAGTTTAACTAGAATGACATTAAATAACATTTATACTATCTTTTTATTTTGAAAAAATATTTTTAATTAAAATTAAGAACCAACATTGACCCATCGGTTTAATCACTAACCCCCGGTTGAACTATTGACCCAATGACCCGATGATTTTTCCGGGTCGATAATAGGGTCGGGTCTGATAACTATGCATATAACTATGACGATGACATTTAGAACAAACTTTCACAATTCTAAGTTTAGTAAATTTACTAGTTTTTTTCCTTCATTTTGGTCTCAAGTTCCTTGCGCTTACTTTTGAATTGAAAATGTGTATCATTCTTGCATTTATTTTTTATTGGAGATGTGCAAGACTGAATTAGCATGATGAAGGCTTTTTAACTATCTAAAAGTATGTAGTGACCTTAGCAAACATGCTTAAAAGTTCTACAAATTAATAGAATCCACTAATTAATAAATTGCTATGCAACTGATCGTATTAATTTACGGAGATCTCACTATAATACAATCGAATAATATATAGTAATGTCTAGTTGTGATAAAACTTGACAAATTGTTTCATGTCATTTATTTAAATTCTAACTTAGGTTACTCTCTAAATCAATCATATATGAATTCCTTTTGTATCACTTTTATACTGCTATATCAATTACGACTTCTCGTCTACAGAAACTCAGATAGAAAATTCTGACTAAATTTTTGAAAGAATATTCCATTTTTCGTATCTAGTGCCTCACTTTAGGTTCACTAAAAGTAGAAAGAAAAAAAAAATGGTGAAAACCAATTGACAGTGAACACTGGTTCAACGACTGCCTTGGTGCAATGCAAAGAGAGTCGCCGTTCATTTGGCCTCTCTATAAATCATCTTCGCACTAAGATCTAACTTTTGAGAAAGTGACATAAAAAGTTTAAAGAAAAAGTCAATAATTGCTGTAATTCAAAGAGTGACATAAGAATAAGAATAAGAATAAGAATAACAACCCTTCCACAAGCCCTTGCAACAGTACAGCATGAGCCCACCAAGCCTGTAGCTGCTGTTACACAAATTAAATGTGCTCATTGGAAAGGTTGCATTTAAGCAAACATGCCCTCTTCTTTTCTATTGTCTTCGAACACTCAAAGATGATATTTCTTCATAAATCGTGATATATCGTAAATCACAGCATTTTAAGAGACCATGCCGACAGGTCAAGATTGCATTTTTCTTTTTTTTAAAGGATATTTACACTCTATCAACACATTCAATATACACACATCGACTGTTACACAATCTATCATACAGAACAAGTCAAACTAATTGGTACATATATTCACTTGTGTCCACTAGATTGTTAAGCTTATCCATTTGGTTCGATCTTTAGGATACCCTTTCAGTAACTTAATTCAGAAAGACAGAGAGATAAGACAAAGAAATGGATTGCTCACTCAAATATTAGATTTGAGAGAGAGAAAAAGAGGACATCTTTTATGTAAAGAAACAAACTTCAATTATTTCACAAAGTGGAAAAAGATGAATACCCTCAATTAATGGAGATGGAATATGGACAGAAGTTTGGAGATTTGGTGCGTAGAAGGGATTATGAAAACGACTAGAAGCTTGAAATATACCTTCTACGATGCATGATGGCAAGATTATTTTTCTATAGCTAGAGCTCAGTTAACACATCCCTCCTAAAATTTATGTAATTTTATTCTCTGCATTATTAATAATAAATAATCCGTACGATAGACATAATCTTCGCTTCCTCTAACAGAGAAATTCTGGTTGTTAAAAACTCGTAATACAATTCTCATTTGGTCAAAACTTAAAATGATAAAGAAAAGTTACATGTATTCACTTAAATTTCATCTTCTACACGCACTCTTATACACATATGCATTCATTTTTATCAAAGATCTAATGCGCGAGTGCACAATTTTCATATAAACAACAATCACAATCCCCTTGTGCACTTTGATCTCTTCCTAGCTTTCGAAAATCATATATTGAGAATTGTTCACAAAGAATAAGCACCAAGACGAATTTCTTCCAGAAGAAAAAAAATGTTGGATATTGGTTAAATAAATCGAGAATTGAAAATCAATTAAAGTGACTACGTATCGACTTCGGCCAAATACTCAAAAGCTCGACTCAATCCGTTTAGACAAAATTGTTTGCCACTTCGCCGCTTCGGGGAGCACAAACGGGGATCGACCTGACCGGTCAGGTCGTGGGGGCTCGAGGGCAACGCCCGAAAGAGAATTTTGATTTCTCTGCATGTATTGAAGGGTATATTTGGCATTTCGAAAACCAATATCGGATGAATGAGAAATTACTAAAAAGGACGAAAATCTGGTCAAAATATTTGACCGTGCGACCGCACGGTTGTCCAGTGAATAGACACCTTTTCATAAAGGTGCATTGTTTGGAAAGGGTGCATGGTTTGGCCTCAACCATTTCGTCCACACCCTTTCATGGTCTATAAATAAGACCATTTGAGTGTCCTATTCCTCACAATTTGATATGCAAAACATCTCTCATCCTCTCTTCTATCCAAAATCAAAATTATTTCATTTATTTTGATTTTCCTTCATTTCATCCTTGGAGTACATAAGCCTAAATTTGGTTCGTTGTACTTGTGTTTTGGAGTGCTACAAACACAAGTGTAGCCGTTGTATCTTGGGAGTCGATTGCCGAAATCCGTAGGCACCGTTGCAACTCTATAAACACTTGTAGATTAATTGCAACTTTTTTTCCCTGGAAAACAAATAGAGAATCTCTTAGGATCTTTGCTTTCATTTTGGTTCAACATTCAGTCAAATGAAATAAATCGTACGTGTAATTCACTACGAAACATGATGGGAATATTTAATAGTTAGTGGCCTTTGATTAAAACTTATACCATCGAAATTATTTGTTTTTATAATCATGTTTCTTGGAGTGAAAAAATAAAAATAAAATGGAACTATGAACCTCACCATAAATTTAGGGAAATATCAATGGGAAGAGACCCTTTTTATATTTAGGAAAAGTCAAACTATTTGTTTTTTTTTTTTCCTCGCATATATCACATTTAAAATATAGTGACTACTTTTTAAAGAGTGAGAAACTTGCTTAGTTGTTCATGTATCTTTTTTTTGTTTTTTTTTTTTTTTTTGTCATCATAATTTCATTTTTCTAACATTTACAATGGTTGATAACTTGGAGGTAATTCCAATTCCCGACTACACAACATTGACCCTTGCTTGGTCGGTCTTCAGATGTTTATGAATCAAAAATCGAAATAGATGCTTTAAAAAGAGGATGGCAATTACCATTTTTTTTTTTTTTTAAATTCGAGTCTACAACAATAGTAGTTTCTAATTATATTTTATGGCAAAATCATACAATAATTATGTATGTATGGAGGATGGCAATTACCAATTTTTTTTTTTTTTTTTTTTAAATTCGAGTCTACAACAATAGTAGTTTCTAATCATATTTTGTGGCAAAATCATACAATAATTATGTATGCATGGAGGATGGCAATTACTCCCTTTTTTTTCTTTTTTTCCTTTTTTTTAAATTCCAGTTTACAACAATAGTAGTTTCTAATCATATTTTGTGGCAAAATCATACAATAATTATGTATGTATGGAGGATGGCAATTACTCCCTTTTTTTTTCTTTTTTCTTTTTTTTTTTTTAATTCCAGTCTACAACAATAGTAGTTTCTAATCATATTTTGTGGCAAAATCATACAATAATTATGTATGTAAACAATAGTAAATCACCCATGTTTTTCATGCAGTGTAAAACACCTACAAAAATTTATTTAGGTCCATGGAAACACAAAGGAAATTTTCATTGTCAACTTGGATATATTAAAGGGTGAAACTCAAATCGAAGAAAAAATATGAAATAGATAAGATAGGCCTTTTAAAGTGAACATTTGTATAACAAATAACAAGAAAATAATGAGAACCGTCTGAACTTGTTATTCCATAAAACCAAATACCCGAAGTTTCATTCTGCACAAACATATGGCCCAATACGAAAATGAAGGTACAACCTTGCTTTCTAAACCAATTCAAAAGTGGGAAAATATAAAAATGCACTTAATTAGGCCTATCTTACCTGAAAAATCTGATTTTTTAACATTTATGGCCATAAAATTACAATTACAATTACAATTTTTCTGACCTATTTTTCAATGAAATATTAAAATGATGAATTTTTCAAATTTTCATCTGAAAAAACAGGTCTAATTTCATCGTTTAAAAATGAGAACCAAATGAAATCTTCCCTTATTAACTGTTTTAATAAGCTACAAATAGAAAGAAGTTCTCAAGCGCTTAGGATAAGACAACAGAAAAATCTACAAAATGACCCAATAGAACATTGTTATTGGATAGTGAAGGTCAAAATAAGTAAACAATGCAAAATCTAGGAACGAGACTGATTGAAGGACCGCAGTTGTAAATTTAACTCAATGGAGAAAAAAAAAATCCCTAGTAAAGAGAAACAAGTTAAGAGAATGAAACACTAGCATTATTCTATAATGACAAAAGTGAGGTATGAACACAACAAGATACATGCCCTGAAAGCTTTATCAGGAAGAACAGAAAAAAGAATACACGTGCTCATAACTTCAGATGAACCACCATAACTAATATAAAGTGGTCCGTCATCATATTGAAGAAACCACCACCATCTATGACATTGGTAAGAAAAAGTGATGTTCTTATGACAAGCACGATATTCATATTCACATAGTACCTAGAAGGCATAGCAATTCATATCATAACTTCTACCTAAGTCCATGAATTAGAAACCAGATGGATGAATTGCCACTATGTCAATCGCCTGACCAGCATCTTTGCAACTGCAAATTTTCTCGTCAAGTTCGTGAATAAAACGTTGTCAAAAAGCGAATCATAACTTTTGACAAGTCTCAGACTAGCATTTATTTCCCTGGAGATGCAAATGATAATCGGTCTCTGTATCGATTTCTGACAAGATCCTTTGGAGATGATGTCTTTGTTCCTGCCTGACGCATAAGCCCTGAAAATAGTGAATTGTCGTGCATCATAAATCCTGAATACGCACTAAAAAAATCTTAGCGACATTAATCCGCTAATTGAGACGTGTCGCAGGATGTTGAACCATTCCTAATGTAGCAGTAGGATTTCCCCAAAATGCTACTAAAATATTATTCTGAATTATGTTAACTGAAAAAAAAAATTGTGTAGTTAGATGGCATTTTCATCTACAGCCTCCTCCCAGGTGGATTGTAGTCCCAGGGTATTACAAGAAGCATAAAGAAATTCATAGCATATGATATGCAGCTCCTATAGCAAGGAAAATAATTATAAGAAAAATAAGGACCTGAGAAATGACTTGATGAAACTTCCCTTACATTACAACTTCTTTCTGTAGTGGAATATGATTATCGGTGTTTAAAAAATAAAATAAAATAATCATTTGAGATCTAAACTTTTGACATTGAGTGAAAGTATAACTAAAGTGTTTTTGCTGAAACTCAATCTAAGAATTAAGAAATACATTCTGATCAGATAAAATAATCAGCAACTTCAGACTACCCAGATTTAAACAATGGAATGCTAGCCAACCTACACGTGCAAAAAGTTAGAGGACTATTTTTCCATATGTTCATCATTAGCCCATCAATACATCTTGATTGTTTCCATTACCATTTTAAACTACGAAGTCTAAGAGGAAGTGCGACTCCTTAATACACATTCGACAATCAAAAATGATAAAAAAGAGCATCTGAGTGCAGAATTGCAGCTCAAGAACTGCTTTGGGTTGTATCGTAACATGTTGCAGTCCTTGGGAAAAGACAGGTAATTATACTGAGTACAAACAAAACTTAAGGGGGACGCTGCTCTAAGAGGGAAGCAAAGTCCCTAGGAGCTCGGGATTTCACACTCTTGCGAGTAAGAATGCTTCGAGGGACTTTGAAAGAAGAGCAATGAGCATAGTCTTCAACTCTTTCAGTAAGCATCCCTTCCAAAATCCAAAGCAGACTGAGAAATTTTCTCTCGTGGTGAAGGACAGAAATGAAAATAGAAACCATTTTTAGAACTTAGGAACCAGCAGCAATAGACATTATAGACACTATTGCATTCAAGTCTACAAGAATGTGTAGCTATAAAGTAGGGAAAAGTTATGGATCCATGAGAAAAATGTTTTATTGGGAGAATGCGTGATTGAAAATGACAATGGAAAAAAGTGAGTTTTACAACATGGGAGGCAAAGAGGGCCTAAGCACAGGTCCAAATTTTACTTTTTGGCGAACAGAGAGAGATTCTACATTCACACCCTTCGGAGATCAACTCAGTGATTTCTTGATGCACACTCTTTATGTTTACAAACAGGCATCAGGTAATGCTCATTCATTTTTAGTTACTGGATGGCAATAAAAAAAGCTTCTTTCAGTTGCCCATCTAGCAATGCCTGGACGTTGCTTCCAAACACGTAGATCAAGTAAACAACCACAAAGGGTTCATGAAACTAGAATGTACCACTATAAACACTTAAAGGTGATTTCTAAACATCATGCAGAAGTAGATAAAACTTACCTCGTTTCCTTTCGAGCTCTTCGTCAAGTTCTTCTTTCCATTTCCTTTGTCTATTAGAGAAGCTTGCGCTATCAAAAGACAGAAGATTTCAGAATTTCAAGCTACAGGAGAAAGAATGGTTTATTATGGTGGCATTATGAATTGTAAACTGGTGATAATTTCCAAACCTTGGACTAAGTGGCCTGGGTTGAGAATCAGGAAGCTCTTTGACATTCTTAGAAGCCTTAAAGTTTACATCGCCAACACATATGGAAGAACTCCCCGGGCTTGAGTTGTACTCAAGGTCAGCAGCAGTTGAAAGTCGTTTGTTAGCCACCCTATTGGGTGACCTACTTTTAGGGGTTAAGTTTGAATCATCCGAAATATTCTCCTTATTCACAGTCCAGACAGGACTTGGAGGTCCAGTAACACTCGAAGAATTGTAGAATTCTTCATATAGAGGTGTTTGCAGCTTCTTCAGATCTAAAGCCTAAAAAAATTTGATGAAGTATACACAAGACTTCAATTACACCGAATAAAAATGTGTTGAAGAAATAACAAGGTATCCACATCAAGTCATATTCTGACAAGTGACAGCCTATGCGAATGAAATAATACCTTTTCATCCAGGAATGCCTTAATCTTTGACTCAGTTACTTCATCATCATCTTCAGCTATTGATGGTTCACTTGGAAATATCAAGCCACAATCACCAGATGCTTGAGGTTTATTCCCAGGTTCAAGAACTTGACTGGTAAGCAACCTTGTTCCAGTTTCCTCCACCTCTGGATTTCCATCAAGCTTGCAAGGCCAATCATCGTCAGGGTCACACATTGGATTAAAACTCTACATATAGAAAAAGTGCACAATTTGATTAGCTTGTAGCTTTCTACTGCTAAGAATCATACTTCAGAAACACATGAAGATGATTCAGTAGACCACCTATGAAGAAAACAAGCTTAACCAACAAACTGTAGAAGAGATCTAAGGAATATAATTATTTATGAAGATCGAGTTAAATATGAGAGACTCAGTGCTTAGTCTTAATTCTAATGGGAAATGCTAAAAAAATACAGTCTCCAAACATAACAATACTAATCCAAGGAGGACTTGAAAAATTAAACTCTTGAGACTTACTACCTGATTAAAATCATATGTAAGCTGACTAGATTTATATTTCATTGTTGCGCCAAATTCATCACTGTCGTCTATTCGACACATGTCGTCATCAAAGTTCACTGGTTGCCAAGAGGATCCTGTACCTGACAACTCAGGATATATAGATGAGCATCTTACACTTCCCAAGTCACTGACATCTTTCAAACCACTGCAGGTCATCCTTGTCTGAAAATTCATTCTACAACATGAACAGAGAGTGAGAACATCAGATTCTGGTGAATCCAAAAGAACCAGTCCTATTACAAGAAAAGCACTTACGACATCTTGAGGTCAATTCCAAGCGCTGTCATCCTCTTTCCATAGCTATCCTTCTGATCTAAATACTTAAATTATAAGAAACACAATTGTGGTGCAGAACTATAATAGTTTAAACAAGAAACAAGAATTTGCTGACCGTAAGCGAAGTGTGTGAAAGATGGTGGGATCTCTGACATTCTCCAGTCACAAATGGATGCTGTAGATCACAAAGAGAAAAATGCCTATTTGAAAACTTCACTGCATAATATTTCTTATTTCTAATATTAAAACACAAAGATTTGTCACACCACAGCATAAAATATAAACATCTAATAACAACGTGAGTCTTTTATGCTGTAGTCACTATGAAAAATTTAAGATAGAAAGCAGCATAGAACCACCTTTAACAAATCTGATGCAGAAAGCCTAAAGTCAGGTTCCCTGCCAAAATTTAAGAAGCACACTAAAAAGTCAAAATGGAAATCTAGTAGCAAAATTCATTAGTTGTTTGGATTTTTTCTTCTCAGCGCAATCAAATTACAGCTCAATAGCCCTGACTAAAGGTTTTAAGGGGGGTAAAACAAAAAGCAAAGTAAGCACAAGAACAAGTAAGTTTATATGTACAAAAAACGTACTTCTGTAAACATTTTAACAAGAAGTCCTTAGCCTCAATGGAGAGATGTGCAGGTATTGGTGGGTGAGATTTGGTAGTCCCCACATGAAAGAGTGCAGCAAATTCCTGAAACTTATACCATCTGTTAGAACTCAAAGCAATTAGCAAGTAATAAGAAGTTGTTGTCACACTTACAATTAATGGTTTCACAATGGTTCTAGAAAATAAGGTATACCTCCTGATACTGCTGGCTCCAAGGAGGTTTTCCGGTGGCCATCTCAATAACAGTGCATCCAACACTCCATATATCAGCAGAGCTATTAATATTTTATGTAAAATAAAGAACATTTGAGTGTTAATTAGTAAAGTTTGAGTTGCTAAGCAAACAAAATGGACAGAACGGCATGGTCCAAAATTGAGGGTACTATTGGATAGGGAAAAAGCACTGAGTTAATGAGCTCAAAAAAGAAATGAAAAATGTGATTCAACAGGTCAAAGGAATAAGAAATATGCAGCGCCAACCAATAGTTGTGAACAAGGTTCTCAGGATAACCATAGCTTAGTCTATATCCAAACATAAAACAAGAAGCATCAGTAAATTGCAGGTCCCAAAACAGGTCCCAGTTCTAGTTTCTGATGTGATTTTATTTGAAATTTACCACTGGTTCATAAAATGTCAAAGGTAAAACAAAATAAAATGAATTAAGACTTATTATAGTTGAAGCACTTCAATTAATGCTACTTGGTTCAATCATCATTAGTACCCTCACATTTCAGAGTATCATACTGGAGGTAATACAGGAAAGCCACTTCAATCTACCAAATGTACGAAGATTTGTGAAGATGTGCCATGCATTACTTAAAAAATGCAGAAAATGAAGAGATGTTGATCAGCTACATGAATTGAGCTGCGTTCTTTTACTCACTAGCTATGACCAGTCTGGCGAATAACTTCAGGAGCCATCCAATATGGAGTACCCTTCATTGATTTGGCACCCGTCATAGTAGCCTGCAGCAGAATTCAAACCCTAGTTAAGATGAAATAGCTGATAGAGAAACATTGGAAAAATTAAAAAAAATATTGTACCAGTGCAACAACTTTCTTGGATGCACCAAAATCAACAAGTTTAATGCAACCCTTGTTATCAACAAGAATGTTTGCCCCCTAATAAGCAGGCACATAATCAGTTTCAGAGAGTTATGAGCATGTAATACATCCAAAAATAAAATAAGAAGTATTTGAGTAAACAATACCTTAATGTCCCTATGCATAATCTTATTCTGGTGCAGGTATTCTAATCCAAACAACAGTTGTTTCGTATACATTCTGATAACCTGCATTGCCAACAAGAGAGAGAAGGCAGATTTAGAGAATCCTAGACATGGATATAAGAAAGGATCAAGAATACTATTGGTTCAAGAGCTCAATTTTTAAAAATAATAATTCACAGACTTGCAAAAGAAGATGCCCATGGATATAGGTCTCTAAACAATAGGTTCAACGGATATCAAATTTTTTTAATAAATTTCACAAACAAGTATGATAATCACTTACTGATTCTGGAAAAGATCCAAATTTTCCCAGTAGTGATGAGATGGATCCACCAGGAACAAATTCCAGTAATATATTCAACGAATCCTCCTCTCTCGCAGTTCCTAAGTATCTCTGTGAATCGAGAGGAAATTTACTCAAAATAGAGATCAATCATCATTCTTTTAGGAATCAAAACAAACAATTTTACTCACTACAATATTTGGATGCGAGAGATTTTTCAGTAGATTCACTTCTTTCTCAAGCTCTGTGATTTGATCCTAAGAATTCAATACAAAAAGATTCTGTCAAATTCAGAGAATGCATATCAAGGTTCAAAACAACTTTATTCAATAAAATATTACGTTCAAATATGAACTACAGATCCAATGTATGTGTAGACAAATTAAAGTATTACAAAATTAATTATATACAACAACCATTTCAAGCTGAACCAGAACAATATTGAACTTCTAAATCAGTAGAAATATCTATTATATATCTTCTGTGCAAAGGATCAGAAATGCTTGTTTAAGTATCATTTGAAGCAGACATAACATAGTGTGATTGGATCAAATATGCTTGAAATCAACACAAGAAATTCAGCTTAATCTAATACCATTACCTGGGTTTTCTTTGAGGCACTATTCACCGCAATTGCAACCTATATATAAACAAAAGGGAAACGTGAATATGATCACCTCAAATAAAACCCTAAAAGACAACAATAACATTATTTAATATTCCCTAATCAAGCAAGACAAGTTTACCTCTTTCACAGCAAGTAACTCTCCAGAATCAAGATTCATACCCATGTAAACCCTCCCAAAGGCCCCGTACCCTATCAACTCCCCCTTTCTCCACCTGATCGGCAGCGGCTGTTCCACATTCTCTTCCATTTCCACCGCTTCAATCTGAAGTGTTACCGCCTCCTCTTTATTAATCAATACTCGCCCTTCCTCTTTGACTGTTTTTCGTGGCGTCTCTGGTTTAGCAATCGGGGGCAGGGCGTGGAATGGGGTTTTAGAAAAAAGTCCGATTCGGGAATTTCGAACACTTGTCCCGATTTTCTCAACGATGTCGCGGAAGCCACCATTATCTTCGCCGCCGGAAGGCTTGAAGACAAGAGATCGGCGCACGGAACCCATAAACTCTTGCATCGATTTAAGTGGTGAAGTAAATTTACTGAAGATCGAATTAGAGAGAGAAGCTAAGGGATTTTCGGTTTTTGCATTTGACAATTGAGTAGTGAGAGACTGAAAAACAGAGATAGGAGAGGGAAAAGGTGGGTTTGATATGCTGTTTGAAAATAAAATAACGGGAGAAAATGGAAGATTTGATATTTTGGGCCTGCTGTTCCTATTTTACGTTCGTATTAATCCATTTGTACAAAAAGAAAAAAAAAATGTTTCACAGAAGATTATCAGAATACTTCCATGAATGGAGGCCCATCGTGAAAAGGATTTGCCAAAAAATATCCCGCGTGTGTCCTGGCCAGCCATACATCAAGCAAAACACTTTACGTTCCAATCTTGAATGCTATTGTATGTCATTGTGTTCTGGCATATTGATTGAACTATATGTACATAATAATTTTGATACACATGATATGATGAGGTCCCGTTTGGTATACAATAATGTAAAAATAAGAATGAAAAATATAATCGTTACGAGCCTCATACAAGAATACAAAGTCAAATATGGTGGCATGATGTGATGGATAACGATCATATTTTTTCATTTTAATGAATAAAAAATGAAAACCTAGTGGGGGCTGAGATGTGATTGGGTTGAAAAAATTTTTAAAAAAATATGGAGAAAAGCTTCACAAATCTCTTCTTGACACTAAATATTTAGGTAAATAATTATATACAAATAATATTATTCTATAATTTATCTATCTCTTCCATGTCATCTAGTACTCAATGATTTACAATAGCATTATTTTCGTGTTTCTACCCATAAAACTTTGTAAATGTAGACGAACTGAATCTAGCCATTATTGTTCTAAAAAGCGTAATACGTGACTAGACGACAAAATCAAGTTTTAAGTTTTTACAAGCCTAAACAAAGCTTAATGCTTGTTTGGTAGAAATTTTGTTAATTAATTTTTTGATCGTTAAATATAAAGTGAGTCCTATTTGTAAAAAAAAATTCAAAAATGACGGCTGTATTAATAAAATAATGGTGAAAAATTGATGTTAAGTAAATTAAAATCTCTACCAAACATGCTCTTAAGCTTAAAAAAAAAAAAAAAAGCATAAAACATAGGTGATAACTTAGGTGAACTTTTTAGAATAGCTAATGAAGGAGAGAACTATAGAGTATATGTCGTTACGAGCCCCATACAAGAATACAAAGTCAAATATGGTGGCATGATGTGATGGATAACGATCATATTTTTTCATTTTAATGAATAAATAATGGAAACCTAGTGGGGGCTGAGATGTGATTGGGTTGAAAAATTTTTAAAAAAAATATGGAGAAAAGCTTCACAAATCTCTTCTTGACACTAAATATTTAGGTAAATAATTATATACAAATAATATTATTCTATAATTTATCTATCTCTTCCATGTCATCTAGTACTCAATGATTTACAATAGCATTATTTTCGTGTTTCTACCCATAAAACTTTGTAAATGTAGACGAACTGAATCTAGCCATTATTGTTCTAAAAAGCGTAATACGTGACTAGACGACAAAATCAAGTTTTAAGTTTTTACAAGCCTAAACAAAGCTTAATGCTTGTTTGGTAGAAATTTTGTTAATTAATTTTTTGATCGTTAAATATAAAGTGAGTCCTATTTGTAAAAAAAAAATTCAAAAATGACGGCTGTATTAATAAAATAATGGTGAAAAATTGATGTTAAGTAAATTAAAATCTCTACCAAACATGCTCTTAAGCTTAAAAAAAAAAAAAAAAAGCATAAAACATAGGTGATAACTTAGGTGAACTTTTTAGAATAGCTAATGAAGGAGAGAACTATAGAGTATATTAAGCTTAATGTTTCGATATCAAAACAAAGACACATAAACAAAACTAACCCAATTGTAAGAAAGTCCTTGTTTGACCTCCATTCTTGTCAAAAAAAAATATTTTTGAATAGTGTGCTGATGAAAAATATATGGTTAAAAAATAAAGAAAAGTTATGAATTTATGTGTAATATTATTTTATTGAAAAATATTTTATTGAAGTGGAGCATAAAACTTTGTAAATGTAGACGAACTAAATCTAGCCATTATTGTTCTAAAAAGCGTAATACGTGACTAGACGACAAAATCAAGTTTTAAGTTTTTACAAGCCTAAACAAAGCTTAATGCTTGTTTGGTAGAAATTTTGTTAATTAATTTTTTGATCGTTAAATATAAAGTGAGTCCTATTTGTAAAAAAAAAATTCAAAAATGACGGCTGTATTAATAAAATAATGGTGAAAAATTGATGTTAAGTAAATTAAAATCTCTACCAAACATGCTCTTAAGCTTAAAAAAAAAAAAGCATAAAACATAGGTGATAACTTAGGTGAACTTTTTAGAATAGCTAATGAAGGAGAGAACTATAGAGTATATTAAGCTTAATGTTTCGATATCAAAACAAAGACACATAAACAAAACTAACCCAATTGTAAGAAAGTCCTTGTTTGACCTCCATTCTTGTCAAAAAAAAAATATTTTTGAATAGTGTGCTGATAAAAAATATATGGTTAAAAAATAAAGAAAAGTTATGAATTTATGTGTAATATTATTTTATTGAAAAATATTTTATTGAAGTGGAGTTAAATTACCGTTGAAAAGTATATTTTGATGAAAAAAATGAGTCTCAAACAAGGGCAAAATGCAAAATGCTAGTGTTTAGGAAATTTTATTAAGTCCTTGTTTGATTTTTATTTTTGGATAAGTGGTTTTGTAAATTTTTTTTTTTTTTTGGGAGAATATGTGATTTAAAGCAAAGAATAGTTATGAATCAACATGCAAAAATATTATACCGAGATAAATGAATAGTTAAAAATGAGTTTGAAGTAAAGTAATGTAGAAAAATCAAAATCAAACAAGCACTAATGGGTTGTTTAACCAAAACCTTTGATAAAAAATTTAGTTGATTTTGATAAAAAAAAATGATGAAATATATGTTGAGAAGTCCATAAAAGTTGTAAATCCCTAAAAATATCTTATTACAAACTTTCTCATGCAAGCACTAAATATACTGCCAACAACACAATTTTTGTATAGTTTATAAGTTTGGTGATGAAATTGGAATGAAAAAGGTTGGGTAACATTGAAATGATTATTTACATTTTCTTCGATAATACACAATGAAAGGTCACTTATATCATAGCTATTGTATTTGACATAGTTTTTCCAAACTCATGAACAAACGCTGAAACAATTGTGTTGTTAGAATAGTCAAATATGCCTTCTCTGCAAATATCAACCAACTGAAAAGTCCATTGCATTGAAGGAAGATGACAAGGGTACATATATGTCCATATCCAGCCCAAGAATCAATCATACAGTAATTTCACTACGTAAGAGCCACAAACAACACATTTTTTTTGTGCACAATCATCTAAATATCCTTGCCTCATTGAGTATTCCGCTTGTGGAGAGCAAATAAATAGTGTTATAATTAAAATATTCTCCGGTAAAGTGAATTGTATGGTGCGTAACTGTTATTGTTATTGTTATTATAAGCGATATGAGGAAGCCGTCCTGAATTATCAGAATGCCTGTGGAATCTAGCATGTCTTCCCTGCCTATTCTTCCTTCGTGGATGCGAAGAACGAGGAATAAAAACTCCAGTCCCAGTTGGGTAACATTGAAATGATCATTTACATTTTCTTCGATAATACACAATGAAAGGTCACTTATATCATAGCATTTGTATTTGACATAGTTTTTCCAAACTCATGAACAAACGCTGAAACAATTGTGTTGTTAGAATAGTCAAATATGCCTTCTCTGCAAATATCAACCAACTGAAAAGTCCATTGCATTGAAGGAAGATGACAAGGGTACATATATGTCCATATCCAGCCTAAGAATCAATCATACAGTAATTTCACTACGTAAGAGCCACAAACAACACATTTTTTTTGTGCACAATCATCTAAATATCCTTGCCTCATTGAGTATTCCGCTTGAGGAGAGCAAATAAATAGTGTTATAATTTAAATATTCTCGGGTAAAGTGAATTGTATGATGCGTAACTGTTATTGTTATTGTTATTATAAGCGATATGAGGAAGCCGTCCTGAATTATCAGAATGCCTGTGGAATCTAGCATGTCTTCCCTGCCTATTCTTCCTTCGTGGATGCGAAGAACGAGGAATAAAAACTCCAGTCCCTTTGCTTTCTGTTGTGCTTGTCTGCTGATGAAGAGTTTGCATTTGTATGGCTGGATGGATTGCCTAAAAATACTCGAAAACGGAGAAAAGTTCGGTTTAGCAAACTCTTCAACTTGACCGCAGGGCATAAGATAATATAGGAGTGAATGATTAAACTTAGCCCATGCTTTTATGCAGTGGTGGGACTCAAACCAGTGAGTACCATACTGTATTTATAGCAACTAATGGAAACTCAAAACACTACAAGACATTACTTAGCCCCTATTTGATTTTGCGAAAAATCATATTTTAATTGAAGTTCGTGATGAAATGTGTGGTTGAAAAGGTTATAAAAATTGAGGGTCCTAGTTATAGTTGACTGTTAAGTGTAATATTAATTAAAACCTAATGTAGACGCCATTTCGAAGAACTTTTATTCAAAATTTCTCTTATAAGTTCCCTTTATGTGTCTACATTTCACTAAAAATTTGAAAAAAACAAAAAAACAAAAAAAAAAAACGATGACGAAAAATCGTACGAGCAAATTAGGTGCGGTTGGTTTCCATTTTCATTTTCAAAACGATTTTTAATTTTCCTCGAAAACAGTCCGTTTTTCGCATTTTCAACATTTATAACTGAAAACGCTAAAAACGATAAAAAGTTGTTTTGCGTTTTCAGCTATAAATTTTAACTCGTTTTCGAAAATGCGTTTTCGAAAAAAAGGACCAAACGCATTTTCCGCGTTTTCGAAAACGGAAAATGAAAAATGGACCGAAAACGGCAAACCAACCATGGACTTAATTTTTCTTCTTATCAAATGGGTGAGACTAAAACAACATATTTGATGTTACACACAAGATAAAATGCCATTGAAGGAGATTTTAAAAGGAAGGAAAAAGCAAGCAAGCAATTCAAATGCTTTTGATGTCTACGTTCATTGGAATGACCAAAGATCCATTGAACATGACCGTTGGTAGAGAAACAACACGGTTGGTCCTACTAGTTGCGGGGGAAAAAAAAAAGAAAGAAAAAGAATCATGGTTTTTTTTTTTTTGTGAAAGGTTTGGCATTGATCCCTACCATGTTTATTAACTGGAACAAGGGAAATTCGCCAGAGATATCCAACATTTAAAAAATGTGCAGTTGAATTTCAAACATTAGAAATTTTAGTACCTACTTATCAAACCTTCTTATAATTGTGTGTCGGAAAGATCTCTAATGATTTTAATCCAAAATTTTTTTTGTTGATCAAAATCCAAACTTGTGACCTTAATTTGATTAATTTAATGTAGGCTAAATTGATTTTTTAAATATTTAATTAACTAAAACAATTAAAAATACAAAAAAATGCATTTCTTGATTCAATGTACTAAACATGTCTTCAAATAATACTAATCGTCCAAGACATCTTCAGTGCTACTATTAATGATAACCTCTCATATTAAAAAAAATACACATTCTCAGTTTGATAGTTTTACAATCTCTAACGAATTTATATTGAAAATATCAGTAGATCCAAAAATTTATACGACAAGTTGATCCTCTAATTTCTATATAATCAGCATCAAGTATTTATTTTGTTCATTCTACTTGAAAGACATGACGTGATTCCACTGCAATCTTTTCGATCAGTCCCCTTCGCAATTTCTCCTTATCATCAACTACAAAGTGACAAAAATAAAGCCAAAAATTAAGAAATGAAGATGTGATTAGAATTCACTTGTTAAAGCATTTGATAATGGCAACTGCCCTCGAAATATTCAGTTGCTGTCACAGTTGAGGTAAGAGGTTAATCAACGTCGTATTTTTCATTAAAGTAAGATGATTCCAATTGAGGAAAAATTAAGGCAACGACAATTAAGTGGTTGCATGAGACTGTCTTGTGTAAACCTAAAGATGTTTTAGTTAACAAAAACATTGCAATCTCAATAAATAAATAAATAAATAAATAGGTATGAAATGGAGAGTTGATCAAAACTAACATTATTAAAACTTGGGATCTTATTTAAGAGGTCAATCTTAAGAGGATTGTTTCGATATCTAATTGGTATGAGATTTTACCCTTTAACATGTCCTACAAGATTGTTGTTCATTTGAAAGTGTCGATCTTCAAATCTAATGGTTCATTTGAGCTTTAGACGGATTGAGTTACTCGTTTAAACTTAGTGAACTCTGATACCATATTAAGATTTAAGATACTTTTTTTTTTATTACTTCCTTGAATTTTACCTTTAACTTATAGAAAAGTGAGCAATGCATCAATACAATCAAGTTGATCCACCTTTATCTAGATAGCATATATACAACTAGTGGATTAACCACCACAAATGTAAGATTCAGCTTGCCTTATCATCATAATTCTGTCGGACCATCATCCTTCTTTTAGCCCAGTCTGGTCAAAAGAAATGAACGACTCAATCAAAGAGGGGACAAATTATAAGCTGCAAGCATTAACTACTTTAACATGACTGTCACATTCTTCTTGTTGACTAACACTTTTAGGGTTCTTATTCTATTTATATATATATAGCTTATCTTTAATGTAAGTTATGAATTATAAGATCCCTTGGTCCACTGCTCACAAGGGTTGCTGGTTTATTTTGCAGAAGATTGAAACTTGAATTTTCTCAGCATTACGAATTTGCTCAAAGTAGATATTTTCTTATCACCATTGTAGCTATCTAGTCAAGCGATAAATTTTATGTGTGATTAAGTGCAAAGGAAAATAAGTCTTGTGCAAAGAAAATAAGAGGCCTATCCAGGGCATGTAAAAAAAATAAAATTTAGGTCCCATCAGAGTGAATGATGGTATTATAATGTTTGACATTTTGATTTGTCATTGGATAAATATAGCCTCTTTATTTATGTTTTCAAAATTGTTATCGCACTAATAATATTTGAGCGTGCTATTAAGTGTCATAGATTGGGGGTGATAACATGAACTGAGTACCAGCATGTGTTAGTGCATATAAATATGACTAATGTTTCGATTGAGAATTAAGTTATCCTGCACTGATGAGCAAAAGTTGACACTCAGTTCTAATTAAGATCGTCTAGTCAATTGCTCTACCAATTAGTGTGCATGGTTTGTCTTAATCGTGATGATAATACTTTGTGAGTAATGACATTAGTACACCGATGTGTAATGAATAATAAATATGTGGTAGCTTAATTTTATAAGATGATCGTATGCAAAAATTATACTACACGACTATCTATAGGTCCAAATCTATAACAAGATAGTGATTATTATTTGTGAACTTGGGATTTTTTTTTATGTAGCAAAGAGTGATTGAACATCTTAACTAGGACCCATATTCTTATACATATCCCTAGACTTGAAGTCCAATTACTTGATGACCCTTATAATTGTGACCAGATCTCATTTTTTGAATGGAAATACAGCTCAATTTTATCTAGAAAGGACCCATATGCACCAAATATGTAAGATTATGATGCTGGAAAATTTAATTGTGGACTTGAGTGCTTAATTTGTCAAAGGTTGGGGGACTGCGGATCTCCATAGTTGTTTTCCTTATTTTGTCTTAATCACTAATCTTATCGATTTCCGATTTCCTTACATCCAATTTCCTGCTAATGTTTCCATAAATTCTATTTGAAACCTCTACCAAACAAGTAGTCGTAAATGGGTATCAACTTACATCAAAATCCCCCCCACCAAACAATAGAGATTTGAACAGAGTCGCAAACTTCATAGGTCTAGCACAGAAAAAGAGTTCTTGGTCGAAGAAAAGCTCCATATAAAAATCTTCTTGGCCAACAGGTTTAAGCTGTTCGATGATCCAAGAGCTATGTGATCGTGCACATACTGAAGATAAGATGCAGAGTGGGCAGGGCGATTCCACCACTCTTTCTTCATAGTAGTTAAGCATGGAGTTGAATCATTGAGCTACGACATGTTTACCCACAAGACATTGCTACAAGCATATCATCTGTCATTGATGCATTTCTGCTAAAATGAGAAATGGAATTAAAAATGTATTTGATAAAATTTGTCTTATTTAAATAATAGCATTTCTCATTTGCCCCTAAACTTTGGCTCATATACATGTAATCACATAAAAATGTCACTAAACTGCTTTCCCTTCTTTAGCAGCCTCGAAAGATCCCCAATTGCTCGTCAATGGTGTATATGAATCCTCTGGTACTGTATAAGCAATATAGATTAGTCAGCAATGGATCAAACCTGTGCACCTGAATGTTGATTAATTTGATGTTCTGATCCCTTCACGCTGTAGAATAAGAGTATAAAGTAGCTCATTCCAAGCATCGGGCACTCCAGGAAGACACCAATGACTGCAATCCTGCCTGTAGAGAGATAAAGGACTTGTCTTCGGACCCATGTAATACATAGACGAATGCCCGTCTTTTCTTCTTGACGACATATGAGTTACATTTAGCAAGTCAAATGCTCTCATATCTGAAATGTTGAAGTATTCTGAGATGACTTGGGAAAATATGCTATAGCGTGCCCAAGTGTCGGATGACACCAATGAAGAACCAAGCTCCGGAAGTGTCTCCAAGTGACATGTTCCCCCAGATTTCCAATCGCCACCTCTGAAGATAAAGGGGGAAGTAACATGGAGAACAATAGTAGATAATATGAATTAAATAACCCAAGTAGTTTGGTGTAAAATCCATGAAATCCTAAAAGCCTAAGCAACTGATGTAAGGAACTCCAACTTAATACTTCCCAAGCCAATTCTCAATTTAAAAATTTTAAATATGGCTTCAAGACAAAGTTTCACACGACTCTCTATAGGCCAGTATTTCTTAACTCATTTTCCTTATAGTTTATGAATGATATTAATCTTTTGTTGTTGAAATTTGTTTACGTAAAGTAAAATCTACAGACAAATCATAGTTTCCCCAAAAATAAATATATAGGAAGATAAATGTTAAACAAGCCAAAATCGTAAAGGAGCTAGACCTGAAATGTACAGGAGAATAAGTTCGAAATAAGACTTGAGTCCTGTTTGTAGTCAATTCACGGTGTATCCACTGCATTACTGTTTCTAAAGACTTCTGATATGCATCGTCGACTCTCATTTCAATCTTCACCTCGGACCCCTCTTGAAAGAAACAGCCCCTGACAAGGTCAGAACATAAAATGGTACACATGAAATCATGAATACATAACAACAATGTTCCCTACTGCAAGAAACATTCCCACAGTAAAAGTAGTAGTTAACGGTTTATCTGTGAAATTGAAGGAATCAAATTTCAAAAGCATCCTTGATATTCTCTTGTTGCATGCAAGTAAAGTTACACTTTCACCATGACCAGCTAATACACATGCTAATTTCCTAGATTCCAGAAATTCTTACGACTCCTCTAAAAGAGTGTTGCACTGAGCTTTAAAAACAAAGCTACTTTTGCTCCGCAAATATTTTTAGATAACATAAATTTTTAGTTTTAGCTTTAAGTAAAACAAATAATTATTTGAAAGTAACTTCTAAGTTGGTCAAGATAAGTAACATACTTATTTCTAGATTTCTCTGGAAAAAAAAAATATTTTATTTGCTTTACAACTAACTTATTTACTTAACAAGAAAGTTTATTTGTAACTTATCAGTAAACTTTAAAAGCTTAGGCAAACAAGCTCCAGCAACACATCGACAGTTCGAGAGAAAATACATTAGTATCTAGACAAGAGAAAACAACTAGACGAAATTACCCTCTTATTGTCTTCTCTTGATTCCACCAATGTCCCGTGTTGAAAACTAGCACATCTGCATCTTTCCATTTGGAAGAACTCCAGTCCATTTGGTCTAGTTTCAGAGTAGTTTTTACCTCTGGTGGAACATTGGCAGGAGGCCGGCTTTGCAATACAAGAAATGGAGCCCTGTAGTATTCCACAGTGCAATTGTACTCTGTAAACTTGAATATCAAGAAACCTTTATGTTTGGTAATGGGGCTGCCATTTACTTCATAGATAGAGTCCTTGTTGTAAACAGCAGAAGAAAGCATGCAGAGTAGAGATTCCCATTGGTTTCTTCCTATTGAGTCTCCCACAAACACTAAACGTTTATTTCGAAGATTCTCTAGCATAATCTTTGCGTCAAATCTGTTTTATAGGTGCGGAGAAAAGATATCAGAGTCCATTCTACTTCTTCTCATACTAGATTAAAAACTCCTCTGCAGTGAAAGAGTTTGATATAGGAAAAACACATGTGAATGAAAGGATTGGTTTGATTTTGTTCCTTGGAAACCTTACTACATCTATATACATTCCAAATGAAGAAATTGCTCCTCAAATAATACAAATTTGCATCCAATAGCAAAAGTTTTAAGAACCTAAGAGAAAACAGGAAAGAAATATTCAAGAGACAACATTGCAAAAGAAAGTATTTTGACATAAACAGCTACGATGTAACGATCTTAGTGAACTATATAATAGAACTGAAGGTATATTGAGTAGCAATCACAATAGAACATAAATATCCATTCTCGCAGCATGTTAAATTTCTAAATTACGGTCAACTTGCTCATAATCATTCATCAATGCAAAGAAAATAGCATCAACAACTAAATCAATAGACAGAACTAATAATAGCCAAGCTTATATCCAACCACTACATATTTTGTTTTGCTACTGAAAATAAACTAACAAAAAGTTTAGATGAGATGGTTAAAGTCCGATCCTCCATACTTAAATCATCATTCAATTAAGTAATAATCTAGGGTAAAACAACTACCCAAAATTTTGCCTGCCATGTTCAGTAACCAAAAAGACAAAATCCCATTAATAATTATGGAAAACTAATGGGAATACCTTGGCAGGTTGCAATTTTTGGGTTGCCATCTCCACTTGGTGTAGAATAAATCAGGTCTCCCATTCTCTTTACACTTAAAGCCTTCATCCAAGAACCTGCAATCTTTAGATTGATATAAAGGATAGCTTTCATCCCACACCCAATCACCTTCAAATACATTGCAAATATTATTATTTTTATGCAAATTATCAGGATTTTTTCTACTCGGATAACCCAATCCACCATCAAATCTTAACCACAGAAACCTCTCATTCTGAATCGAAAATCTCAGCCCTTTTGACTCATTTCTATAATCAAGTAAAAATAAGCAAAAAATAATAAAAACTATCACAAAAACGAATCCAAGAACCCCTATGGCGGGCTCAAATAGCCTTAAACGTTTTATTCTCTTGAAAACTTCCAAAAAAGACGTAGTTTCAGAGTGTTCCATTAAGTACTTATTTTGAAGTATATAAATAGTACAGTTGTTTAGTCCAAGCAAGTGTGTAACCGAAATCATCATGGAAAATTTGGTCTGAAGCTTTGATTTATCATTATTTGGTCTTTTCTTTTTCTGAGTAACGGCTGGCTATTGACTACAAGTAAATATTGTTTTTGCAGGATTTATAAAACAAAGAGGGGGTACCTGGAAAGCAAGGTACATTAATGGCAGAACGAGGGAGAGGGAGAGGGAGAGGGAGAGGGAGAGAGATCGTGGGTGGGAGTGAGGATGCTTGCACGAGGATTAAAGTTTCAAATTAGAAAGAATCTGGAAACGATAAATTCATGTTCGGTCATTGAACTTTTGACAAAATTTTAATTGAGTAACCAAAATTTAATTTGTATCAATTAGGTCATTACGCTTCAGCTTAGTTTCAAATTTGATTTCAAATTACACCCCTAGTTTCCTAAATAGAACGTTTCTTTATCGGTAGCTATACCTCAACGGATTATAAATCGACCAATTTCTTAAAATTTGTTTTGATCTATCGAGAAACAACGAAAGACTGAAAGAGCAATAAAATTTAAATAATATATATTATAATAGAAAAACGAAGCGTAAGGATTATAACTAAAGAATTTTATTATAAATATAAGATTCCACATAAAAACTAGAACTTTTATTATTTTTATTATAAACCAAAATTTGTTGGACAATTGTCTTATCTTTTGTTGTTAGCTTTCGCCATACACTTGTCTTTATTCTTATTTTCATTGTTTGAGATCTTTTTGACCCTACATAATCTACAATGTATTATTAGGTGAGAATTGAATATAAACTTTAAAGTTGTACCTCTAAATAATATAATTAATAATTTGTATCGCTATAAAAAATTAATTCAATTAATTTTCACTAAACACAATTATTACTAATTATTAGCACACAATTAATAAAAACATTATTACATATATTTAAAAGAAATTATAATAATGCTACATATATATAATTCAAAACAAAATACCAAATGATTCAATTTATTTCCTCTAACTAAGATAACTAATAATTAATTTTCTGTAAAAAAAAAAATTTAAGCCAATTAATTCCCATTAAACACAATTACTACTAATTATTAGTACACAATTAATAAAAACATTATTGGGTACAATTAAAAGAAATTATACTAACACTACATATAGTTAGGACTGTAAGTAAAAATCGCAAAATCGGAAAATCGAACCGAAATCGTATTTTAGAAACCGTCGGTTTGGTGCCACGTGGACCCGGTCAACGAAATGGTTTTGACTCAAACCAAACCGGTCAAAATGTTTTGGTTTAGGTTTGAGAATTTTAATTGCGGTTTAAAACCAAACCGGATCGGTGAAAAAATATGTAAATATAAAAAAATGAAAAAATGAAATTTTTTGAAAATACATCCAAATATGTAAAATTTAATAGTTTTATCATTTGTGGTTATTTTTGTTAATTTCTAATTTTCTAATATAGATATATTATTATTATTATTATCCAATAATCCTAATATATATCTAATAATTTCAAGACTAACATAATCTATCAAAAACTTTTTTCCTCTTCAGAATTTAAATGAACTACAGTTGACTCCCAACACAGTCTTGTGTCACCGTCGCCACACACTTCTTTTTCAGATTTTTCACGCCTCTTCAAAGTTGAATTGAAGTTCATTATACCAAATCGGAGACAAAGAGATTCTAGACCTTCGGTGATAATATTTGTTACGAATAAAGTTCAGATCAATAATTTTTTTGGAGCAAATTAAGGAAAGAATCTGAAATTAAATACATTTTGTAGCATCATAAAACGTAAACTTGTGTAATTGTTATATTTATATATTATAAACAATTACTTTATTATTGTGGGTGGTTATTCTCTTTATTTAATTAGTATCCTTTTTTCAGATATGATGATCACAAGATCTTGTTGGATATTATTGTATTTTTTGGGCCTTATATCTAGTTTAGTAGACTTTTATTGTAACGTTGTTAGCCTAAAAAGGTGAAAAAAATGAAAAACAAAACTATATTTTAGTTTATTGTGATTTCACTTTGATTTAGTTGGTATTTAAATTTATAGTAGATATATTTAGCCCATGTTTGAGCCATATTTTACATATCATTATAATGAGAAAATTGACTATTGGAGAGGAGGCTGGGTCCTACACATGAAACAGTAGGTCAACAAAGGCGGCTGAACTTGTGGGATAACGGTCCAAATTTTCATTTTTTTATCCCAAAAATTTGGTTCAAACAGGGGCTTAGTTTGTTTTAGATTTATTACTAGTAAGATATAAATATATATTGAATTCAATGAATTAATGACATAAAAGTAGACGGACAAAAAAATATATGGAGAAATCGACAATTTAAAATCAGACCAAACCGTTAGCTTTAGGTTTGAGTTTTTTTCAAACCGTTCAAAATGGTTTGGTTTAAATTTGGGTTTTTCTCAAACCGTTTTAAACGGTTTGGTTTGAAAATCTATCAAAAACCGGTAAAATCGAACCGCTTACACCCCTATATATAGTATTAACTTGAATTGTCATATTTTATTACATCAATTAATATTAATATATAAATTTTATTAAAAAATTATTACTTATACTATTTAATTTTTTCAAATCTAATATTACATATTAAAAATAATATTATATTCCTATACAATTCTACCGAAAATAATAAATTCAATCCATAATTGAAAGGGATTGAGAAATAGCTATCTTTATAATTATTAATGTAAATAAATGAGAGAGGAGATGCTGGACTACTTTGTGTTTGTGCATGTACCATGTAATAAACGCATTTATTTAAGACCATTATAGATATAGAAACTAACATTTCTCATTCTATTCCATGTTAAGATCTTATAAATAAAAATTTGAGCGGAAAAAAAGTAAGAAATGTTGTCAATGCAAGCAATTTGTTGTGGGCTAGAGCTTCTCAATACTCAAGAATAGGCTAGATGATGTTTTATGTATGTGAGTGTATTCATATTGACCATTAGAGTTTTCGAGAAATTGATTTTGTGTTATGGTTGCTTTGACCTTATATATTTAGATATAAGTTAATTCTAAAAGGATAATGTAATTCTTTTTCTCTCTCGACAATATTAAAAAAGAAGGATTGAAGAAAAACTTTTGAATATCAATTTTATTCTTATATATTTTGTTATATGTCAATTCTACCCTTATGTATATTTAGTACAATACCATTTAATTTAATTTAACTTCATTTAATATCCATTTAAGTGTAATGTTCATTATTGTATATCGGAGTACTAAAAATTTTACATTGATCCAATTAAGTTTAATGCTTAGAATCGCGCATTAATATAATAGTAGATTAATTACAATATGAAATAATATTTATTATGGTTTTAATATAATTACATATGCAGAAGAGCTTCAATTTTAAGCTATTAAGCTTAATTTGATTAAATATAAAATTCTGAGTATTCCAATGTGGAAAATGAACTGTATACTTAAAAGAAAATTACATGAAGTTAAATTATTAGTAATATAGTATAATATTATTTCATGTGTATACGTATATATTTTTTTATTATATTATTTATTATTTATGTATGTGAATTATACTTAAAAAATCAAAGCTCATCTACTCTTATAATTATATTATAAGACAATATATACAAATAAAATATGGAAATGGATGAAAATCATTCAATTTATCATTTTGTCCTTATTTAACACCGTCAACATTTTCATTCAAAGATTATAAATAGCACGGTCAATTAATATAATGGATAATATAATTATTTAAATATAAAGAACAATAAATTGAAAAGAAAATTTTGCTTAAATATGTTCGACGGTTAGGAGGGGAAGAGTCTAAGGTGGGGAAAATTATACATCAATCTTAAAAACTTACTAATTACTCATAATAATTAGAAGTTACTTACTTTTCTCATATTTGTATCCACCCCACTAAATACATAATTTGCATCTCAATTACAGATTTTCCACTAAAATCAAAATTTTAAGTATTAATAAAAATTAATGTTATTTGTTTCAAAACAATATTAATATAGTATTGGCTATTTCATTATTATTTCATGTTTATTTTTATATAAGCGTAAAAATTGACGTTAATCCAGTTACTTATTACATATAAACATATAAAGAAAAAAAAAAGATTTTTTCTATCTCAATACATTTGGAGGGAAATTTTCTATACCTCTATTTGTATTAACCCTATTCAAAAGAAAAATAAAACTTTTGTTTAAGTTTTTTCACTTCTATATCTGTTTTGAATATAATTTTGGTTTTTAATTTTAAAATAAATGTTATGAATTAACATGACAAGCATGATTAGTACATAAATTTTTGTTTCTAAATGTGTTTAGATGATTCTTTGTTTTTTACTTTTCAAGGTGAAAAAGTTCATATTACAAATAAAATGAGTAATTTTTTATTTTTAAAATCATTATTGTACATTTAGTTTACTTATAAGTGAACATTTTAAATTTTTTTACTTATAAGTGAACATTTTAAATTTAGTCAGATGTACATCTTTTAATCCAATCATTTTTCATGTCCATGTATATCAGAAAGCTGGTCAATACCAGCTGTAATGGTTGAAGATTGGGATCCAACCAATGTCAACATAAAAAAATAAATAAACAGAACATTGCATTTCAAGTTATTTAACATTTTCACACTATGTACATAATTTCATGAAAAAAATTATTCATATATATTCTTTTTAACAATTTTAATTTTTCCTTTAACATTATCAATTTCCTTACTTTAAAAACATCACGTATATCATTCATTTCGTCTACAAGACGTGCAATGTACGTACTTACTACTAGCAAGTACAAAAATGTAATACGATATATTGTCTAGTTTTGAGGTTAATTATATTCAGACTTGACTTTACATTATCTTAAGTTTTGTTCATTTTTATACTTGAGTTCCCAACGTTTTTATCCTTATTTTTTTTAATGAATTTACATAAAAACCTTAAGGTGGAAGTGAAAAGACTTATTTGCGTCTCATATATTTTCTATAAGCAAGATAAACAACAATATAAAGTTCAAAAAAATATTTCTTCATGACAATAAAATATTTAAATGAAACTGTTGCTAGAAATAAGATGTGCAAATTAATTGAAGATTAATGACAAAATTACAATGAAAAAAATTGAAGACATAAGTGCGAGAAGGAGAAAAATTCGAGGACTTTCATTGAAATTAAAATGTGGCATATTAACGAAATCACCTTTTATTTCATTTGATTCCCTTTTAACCATCAATGCAAAAATTTCAATAAAAATAAGGAGGCAATATTTAAAATTCCACTCATGAAAGCTGTTTATGTTTGAAGGAAAAGATAGAGAAGTTCACAAAAAATATTATGCCCTGCTTGGTGTAGATAAAAATCTATTTTTTTTAAAAAAAAAATTATGTAAATTTTAATAAAACTTGATGAGATTGTTGATTGAAAAGTTGTGAAACTCATAAAACATGTGGTTAAAATTAATAATTATATCATTTAAAGTTTAATTAGCTTTTGTAGCTAAACCAAATGAGGAACTTTGATGATATTCAGGGAAATTAATTTTATAATAATAATAATAATAATAATAATAATAATAAAGAAGAAGAAAGAAAAAAGGACATCATCTTCCAATGAAATGATCTATCACACTACTCCGTGTCAGTGGTGATCTTCTGCCTACAGTGGACAATAATTATTATGTCCATTATGAATATGACAGCATTTGATGTTGCCACATCAACAGCGGGAATATGACGTGACAGCACTAATTGTTGTCACACCATTCGTGGGTGTTCGTCAAATTCTCCCAAGCGTACGAGTTTGTTGTATAAGTAATAATCGTGATAAGAGAGTTATCGTCCCACGGGAAATAATGATCAATTTCAGTATATTGGATATATTTAAATTCGAGTTTGTAACCAAAAGATGATCGAATGAATAACTAACTAATTTTTTATAACTAAAACTTATTAAATCAATGAAAATTGGTTTAAAAATTAAATGTGCGAACGTATTGGATTTCCGACGCCACTGATCAATTCTTAGTTCTAATTCTCAATCAATAATAATTATTTCAATTTATGCAATTGTGACGATCAATAATTCCACTATTATTTATTATTCTTTTCCAAAATATAATAAACCTATAATTACCACGAGACGATCCTATTCCTAGTCCGACTTCATATGGCAAACATGTATTGGCATTTAGGATTATCACATAAAATCGTACACGCCACAAATATTATTCCTAATATTTATTGCCCGTATGTCCCAATAATAGTGTTCTACATATCGTGACTTTTCCAACACTACGAAAAAGTAACTTATTATCTTAATGGTGCGCAAATATTAAAACAATCTAATTATGCATATTAATGGAATCAAAACGCAATAATTAACATAAAAACATAGGTCTCGAATTAAAACTAAAAATTAAACAATTTTGTCATAATCCAATACATGAAAATATTTAGCCTAACATAATGTTGGGATTAAATAAATAAAAGTGGAAGGAAATCACCAAAACTTGACGGGAGTTCAATGTTTATTAGCTCTTTGCGGGTGTATGTCAATTCCATGCAACAAAACCAGCAGCTGCTTCCACGTTACTGCTCCAATTTCGGCTTCTCTAATTGCTGTATATATTAAATCCAGCCACAATATTTGACAGCCAAAACAATGATCAAATGTTACTCAATTTCTTACTACAGGATGCCGCCTAAATTTTCCTTCTTTTCTCCCCCCTAGCTGCCGGTTTTGTATACTCCAAAAGAGTGAAATTCCAACCGTTTCTTTTCTCCCAGCAATTGTATTAATTTAGCAGCCCTTTTGCAATCCAACTAGCTGCCTCCGTTTTCTTTCAGAATTTCTCCGAGTTGGCTGCCTTATTAATGGTTTTGTCTCCAAAAGATTCTCCACTTTTCCTTCAATTGGCTGCCACCCAATTCCTTGTATATGAAATCTAATTGACTGCCACCCACCGTCGTATATCTATTCTAACCTAGCCACCTCTTTTCTTCAGCCAGCACGTATATGTTGGATATTGGTTAAATAAATTGAGAATTGAAAATCGATTAAAGTTCGTATCGAATTCGGCCAAATACTCAAAAGCTCGACTCAATCCGTTTAGGCAAAATTGTTTGCCACTTCGCCGCTTCGGGGCGCACAAACGGGGATCGACCTGCCCGGTCAGGTCGCGAGGGTCGAGGGGGGTCGGGGGCAACGCCCCCGAAAGAGAATTTTGATTTCTCTGCATGTATTGAAGGGTATATTTGGCATTTCGAAAACCAATATCGGATGAATGAGAAATCACGAAAAAGACTTCAACCATTAGTGAATAGACACCTTTTCATAAAGGTGCATTGTTTGGAAATGGTGCATGGTTTGGTCTCAACCATTTCGTCCACACCCCTTCATGGTCTATAAATAGGACCCTTTGGGTGTACTATTCCTCACAGTTTGATATACAAAAACGTCTCTCATCCTCTCTTCTATCTAAAATCAAAATCATTTCATTTATTTTGATTTTCTTTCATTTCATCTGTGGAGTACATAAGCCTACATTGGGTTCGTTGTACTTGTGTTTTGGAGTGCTACAAACACAAGTGTAGCCGTTGTATCTTGGGAGTCGATTGCCGAAATCCGTAGGCACCGTTGCGGGGCAAATTCGACTTAAGGACAAAGAGTCCAACTCTTGCCTCGACTTTGTCACCATCATTATACTTATTTCGGCGTCACTATTCACAAAATTCTTCCAACAGTATATATATAAATTAACGTAGAAGATGCCTTTTTTTTACTCCAATTCCGCTTCACGTGTGGCCCAATTACATGTAATTTATTTATCAAGGCTTTACTTCATTCCCCTGGTGTATTTTAGCCCTCATGCCATTCTTAAATTCAATTCTACCACTTCAGTTTTTCAATGTATACAATTTGGTCTCCGACTTTCGATTAAGCTCAATTTAGCCAATTTCTCGCTTGTTTGGTCTAATTCCTTTATTTTTTCCCTTTTGCTTCTTTTCTTCTTCTTTTGCACTCTTTTTTTTATCACTTCCATCAATCTACAAAATAACATCAAAATCACATATTAGCACTTTTAAAATACTTTCCAAAATAGCAAAATCATGAAATTAATGGCATAATATAATGAGTGTAAATCACTCATCAGTGGGCATAGTAAATTCTACCCGTTATGAGGTGGAGATCAAATCCATCACACTATTATTCTTTTAAACATAATTGAATACGTTGTTTTTCCTTATAGTAATTTCTTGAACAAACTTATATAAGTTAACTTTTATCCTTACAATAAAATAATTATTTAACCTACTAGTAAAAGATTATTATCAAAATAAGTTACTTTTCATTTTCTGTTTAATCAAGTATTTTCTATAATTTCAACCTCACGTAAGGTTAGGGGTGCCGGGAAGGGAAGTTGACTCCAAAGTTTTTGAATTTTTACTCCGATAAAGTATTCGGCTGATGGCTCACCCGAAGAGTAGGCCGATGCAGTGCTTACTGGGTTGATAATAAGTGGGGTGTAAATTAGATTGGTTGAAGCATCAATATTGGGAAGAAATCGATATGGGCCATCACCAAATATTACAACACCTCTGGCTGTTGTTGAAGAGCTTAAACAAACAGCAAATTTTCTGTCGAAGCTAAAATCTGCAGCAAATTGAGAAGGAAGTGCAATTCTTGTCCTTCCAAGTCCTGCCATGCCCTTAACCCCACTTGCAAGCCCTTGTAAAAGGAACGTGGAGCCACAAACGAAGAGAAATTGGGACACAGAAACATTCCTGCCAGGGTTCCTTCCATCGGTAGATTGAATCGACACAACATCGGAAGCCAACTCCCCACTGGTGGCAGTCCTAGTCACCGTGTTATCCGGGAGGAGGCCGCACGTGTTATTATTGCAGCCAGGCCTAGGCGGTGAAAAACACTCCCCGCAGCCTGTGGCCCTGGCAAGTGAGCACTGAGCCGATCGACAACGGGCCGGCCGATAAGTGGATGAGACATAGCCTTGGTCACAATCCACCCACAAGAACTGGCCCCCAAGATCAAGTGTTACACTAACAGGCACAAGGGGTGTTCTTTGATTAATTTCAGTAAGGTATTGGAGAGTTGATGGATCTTTTGTTACAGGTAGAGTAAGAGCATTAGGTCGAAAAGACGTTTGGGCAATAGCTGAGGAAACAAACAGAAAAGAGCATAAAATAAGGACGTACGAAGAAGAAGAACCACCAGCCATGATCAATAATTTTCGTATAGAATGGATGGAAGACAGTTCCCTTTTATAATTGGGTCTATCAATTACGTGATGAGGAGAAGCTGTCTAAAGGATTTTGTGTGTCGACTTATTTGGAAATTCAACACTTCCAGAAGGGTTGAGATTTGGAAATTTTGACTTTGATTTTGTCTTCTACGTGGCTTTATCCATTATAACTATAATCATTAAGACAGTACGATGGAGATATCTCTCATCTGATCTAAACTCGTTTTGCACTAAATTATCGAATGTAAGAAACATAGAATTGTTAGATCACCGATTATGTTCTGATTGATTTGTTAATCATCTAGCCCGTGTTTGTCATCGATTACTCTACATTCTTTGATATTATTACTTTTACATTACTCATTGTTAACCACACATTTTTCATTAAAATAATATTATACAAAAAATAAAAAAAATTCATTCTTCTTTAACAACACATTCTTCATCAATCACCATTACATAATACATTTCTTCAAATTGATGAGGCTCAAACAGGGCCTTAGTACTTATCTTCATTGATATTCAATGCACCAATGTATTGTTAGTCACTTTCGTCTTTATTTTCGTTGAAAAATTCATAAAATTTTTTGAGATATGATGCAAATATCCTCATTTCAAAAGAATTTACAAATGGTTTAATTTATAAATAAATAGAAAGTAGTAGTCAATAAGTGGATAATACTTGTATATTCATCGAAATATATTATTAAAATAAAGTTGAAATATTTATAAATAATTTAAAAGTTTTGTAAAATAGAATTTATCTTCTTAAATTGATTCTTGTACACCGACACTTTCCCATGCTATACCAGGATAATACTTCACGTACAAGGCATATGCTGGTTTCACATCATTATGTCAGCTTAAATTATTGAAATAAGATTAAAATACAATTAATTTTGAAAGAATAATTAATAAGATAACATAAAAAAATCAAAGTCGTAGGAATTTTATCCTTTTTAAGATAATCATAATTTATTGATTTGAAAAATATTAGACAAAGTTTATTTTTCCCCTTGTTAACTTTTAGAATTTTATATGTTATAGAGAGGGAGATTGATTTATTTTTATTATTTTTCACAAATATTTGAATAATAATTTGTTAGTTATAATTCTTAAAACGGGAAATATTATCCATTCCGTCTAATAATACAATTCCATGAGACAATTTCGAAAAACAATTGATGCCACAATGGAAAAGAAAATAACACTCTTATTAATAGTATTTTTCACATTGCAAGAAAGATATTTTCCAGCTGTAGCTAAATGATATGTAAAAGAAGGCCAGAGTTTTCATTTATTTATTGGATAAAATATTCACATTACCCCTTTTTTTGTTAATTACACTAAATTATAAGTAAGGTCCTTAATTTCTGTTCATTTTCACTTTTGTGTTCTTAACTTTTTTTGTTATTTTTTAACCTCAACCTTATCTTAATTAGCATATCCCGTTCCTAATGATGATAGAAAAGTTCATTAGAATATAATAAAAAAGATTTATTTTTCCTTTATTTTTTTTAAATAGGTATGTTCGATAAAATATTTCCCCCACATAAACACAATATTTGGATAGAAATTTTTTACGAAATAAGATGTTTTAATTAATTGAAGGTTAACGGTGCAAAACATGACGAAAAAGTTACTTATATAAGTGCAAAATTGAAGATCTTTATTACAGTCAGAATATGGTATATTTAACTAAATATTTTTTATGTGATATAAATATAATCTCTGAGCAAATTGATGGGATGGCATTTTGATGCTTTGTTCATAGCCATTTGAAGAAGCTCTTTTAGAAATTTGGATATAAATATAAAAGTTTGAATACAGTGCAAGTTTCTTGCCTTCCAAATATTATAATAAATAAAGACCAATGTTTCTTACGCAATTGAAGGGAACGAAGATATTCTTAATCGAATAATTAATTGGATAAGTTCTACAAAAAAAAAAAAAATCCTATGGGGATTAAATAAATTATGGAAGAGTTATGCTCATGATTAAGACTAATAATTGATCAAGTCTTTATATATTTTATTCTTAACATAAATCCTTATATTATTGTTTTAATATACGATTCAAGACTCTATCCTCAAGATGCCTCTAGAAAATGCTAGATCCTTTGAGACGCTGATCTTATTCTAATCAAGTCTTACCACGAGTACCGACAAAAGCACAATTAATATTTCAAATTTCATAGCATGGCATCTCATTTTTTTCCTAAAATAATTTCCATATATCTTGAATTAAGAAACCTAATCATTGAAATGCTTTTAATTAATTAATCTTAACAGACGTTCCATTAAATTTAAACAAGTACAGAGTTGCTTTGGTTGTAGGAACAAACTATGTAACTAAGTTTTGTATGTATATTATTTGTGCCAAAATTGACCGGACATATCCTTTACCCTTGTGTGGACTACTTCATGAAGTTGAGACTAGTCAGCTGCAAACTACAATATATAGACAGACATGTGGAAGAACATCCACTTATACTAGCTAGATCCTAACTATCGTGATTGTATCCTTGAAACATACACATTAATCTCACAAAAATTGATTAAGGATTATACTTTCATTAAAACTGACCCTAACAAGAGCCCTATATTTATCCGCTTTGATTCTCAATTTCCAGCATTTGACCATTACAAGTTCATGTTGGTGATTAGTGTTCTTATTATACCGAACAATCTCTCGATCAAAGTTAAGTCTAATGCGATGAATTTTAGAATGTCTAAGAAAGTCGTGAATATAAAAAATTACATTAAACTCTAAAAAATTCAATTCGAAAGCACACAAGACATGGGAGCTTATCTATATCCCATATTGAACTTTATATTGTTTAGTAACTAGTTGCAAGTATGTTCAAATTTGAGGTTTAACCCATAAACGCAATAGATAAACTAAAATGTGTAGAAATTTACTCAATTCATCAATATTGTACTAGTTTAAACGTGTAAATAAACATTTAAAACACGCTTATCAGCCAACATGTACATCTTTTCACAATGTTAACATATTAGACAAGACCAAAGAAAACAGTGAAAGGTGAGGATATCATTCTACATTTTGGACTACACATTGCGCATTACATTCTGCCACACCACCCGCAAGCCATGCTCCTTAATTTGCAAATCAGAGGCCATGAAGTGCCCTATATTTTATAAACTACAGAAGTGCTCAAAACTACTTACATATATGTTGGGTTGTGATGTCAGGTCCAATCCAACGTTAAGGCGTAATGAGAATGGCCTTGGCCCATCTTGAAAATATTGTCCAATAACTTCAACCTGAGGCCCATTAACCCGGACCCATCAGATGAAAATCTTTAGCTGCCCCTTCTTTTGCTATGTTGTCAATTGTTTTGGACCGTTGATCTCATCCATGATCAAGGATGATCGGGAAGAGTATAAATAAGGCCTTTGGATGAAACCCTAAGGCCATTCTATCGTGGGAAAATTTCTTATCTAAGAATTTAACTATGATCCATTTCAAAACTAAGAAACAAGGTTTAAAACTTCAAAAAATTATATATTATTAAATTTTATCTATGAAATAATTAATAAAAATTATATTCTATTAATTAAATATATTAATGTCGTAATTAAATATAATTTATTCACAAATTATCAAATTATTTGGTTGTAAATTTTATTTCTCGATCACAAATCTAAAATTTCATAAGTCACAATTTATTCGTCGATTACAAATCAAAAATTTTATAAGTCAACAATTATGTCTTGGTCACAAATAATAAATTTTACAGTTCACAATTTATTTATTAATCACAAATCACTAATTTTATAAGTCACAACTTATTTCATGGTAAAAAATTATCAAATTAATTGATCATAAATTAATTCTCAATCGAATTAGGTGATCACAATTTACCAAATTGTGAGTCACGATTCCAATTTTAATCACAATCACACATTATTTTAGGATACATATTATTTATTAGTCACAACAACCAAATAATTGATCACTAACAATGTCTGTCTCACGCTCCAACATCAACGTCAACGTTAACGTCAACCCCAACCACCACACCACAACCACCCACAAAAATCACCAATCTACTAAAAAAACACCTATCACAGCCGCAATCCCTACGACACCAACTGTATAGCGACATTGTTTCTATCACCACCATCACACCACAACTGCCATTTCCATCACCAATTGCATAACCATCGCCATCTCTACGGCACCAACTATATAGTGAGGATGTCAACACTACAACCACACCACAATTGTCATTTTTACCGCCAACTGCATAACTATTGCCATCACCATCCACAAGCAACCACCACAAAAAATCACCCACAGCAACCTGCGCGGCAACAGGTGTCATCGCACTTCGTAGCTAAGCACTGTTAGAAAATGGTATGAAATGGGTCAACTTTGGATCCAAATTTCAGTGAGACCTACATCTTAATTAATATGACACCTAGCATATTCACGTTTTACTCTGCAAGGTAATGAACGTGGTATATTTTTTTTATCGAAAACCATTTAGAATTGAACGAAATATTTAATGTCAAAGTAACCCACATGAAATCATTAATTAGTGAAGAATTTGATTTGCCCAAACACTTATCCCACATAGGAAAGTTATGAAACTTTGGTGTGGTTTATATGGTGCAAGTTTTGGAATTGGATTTGGGCCCCAAGGAGTACCAATAGTCTTTGGAAGGGGAGAAACCTGTATCCTATCGGGTTCGGTCATAAGCCCACATGCGCGCGCCACCGCCATCCAACCGACCGGCCTGCTCGGCACGGCACGAGCATGAGCACGTGCCCATGCCCGAGTCCGGTTCGTTGCGGGTGCATCCTTGCACTATATTAGATTTTTGGACAATTTATTTGAGTTTTTGAACCAAATTGTATACAATCAAATTCTTGGTTACTTAATAAAATTTATTTTTTTCATTGGCTTTTTCCGGGTAATTTTTGGTCTAGATGGTCTACTAAACAAGTCTATAAATAGCATGCTAGAGGATGTTCGAATGGTCACGAACAAGTCTATAAATAGCATGCCCCGCTGCCAGAAAAATTACACCATTTTCATTGCAAATTTTCTCTGCTTTGAATCTCATTCTCCCTCTCGTTTTGATATTATTTTCGAAGTATAAATACTTCATTGCGTTCGTTGGAACTCCTGCAGATTGCCTTGCTACTTTCGTAGGAGTCAAAATTCGTTCTATCTTGAGAAACGATTGTTAGACACCTTTAGCACCGTTGAAGGCAGCAAATTCGTTTTAAGGAAATATCGTGAAATCGGTAAGCTCGAATTTAATTTTCTATAGTACTGTTACGGTAATTCTTTCGGATTGTTTGAAGGGAAAACTTATACTCCAGAAACAACAATCTTAAAACAAATTTTACTTTTCTAGATCATTATATTTCTACTCCTTCTTATTGATTATCTTATAATTGTGTTTCAGAAATGACAACTTCTGGTACTACACTCCCGAATACGATCGAAAAAGAATCAGAGAAATTTAATGGGTCAGATTTTAAGCGTTGGTAACAGAAAATACTTTTATATTTGACAACATTAAGTTTGGCAAAATTTCTTAAAGAAGATGCGCCTTCATACACCGATCAAGAAAGTGACGTTGAGAAATTGGCTGCGGTTGATGCATGGAAGTATTTCGATTTTCTGTGCAGAAATTATGTACTCAATGGACTGAATAACACATTAATGTGTACTGCAATGCAAAGTCCGCAAAAGAGCTATGGGAATCTTTGGAGACAATGTACAAAACCGAAAATGCCGGCACGAAGAAATTCATTGTCGGACGTTTTTTGGATTATTAAAT